GCCCTCCAGGTCTTAAAGGCGTATGTCTCCAATACTGGCTGTATCCCTGAACACACAGAAATCTACCTAGCTCTTCTAACCACCACGCTCTTACTATGGCTCTAATAGCTCTGTCCCCAGGGCAACTTTATTTATTAACATAAAATTAAAATCACATTTCAGTACAAATAAAATATCACCACAGATACCCTAAAAAAAACAAAAAACAACAACAACAACAACAACAAAAAAAGCAAGTAATACCTCTTGCTAGGTCTTCAGAACTTTACTATTAACAGTAAAACATAGATATTGCTCTAAAATATTAATTATATTAATAAAAAAATTTAAAATCTTTTTTGATAGAATATTTTAAGAAAGAAGATTCTATTACTTTAAACCACTTGATTGAAAACATAAATATAAGAATGATTATATATCATTTTGCCATTTGGAAAAGACTTTTAAATCCATTATTTCATTGATCTTTTTGTTTATTGAAAAGGAGGGACAATTACTATGTCCTTTTTTCCACCCAACATGGTCACTAAGACCTACGTAAATGTCACACACCTGAAATTCTTACTCCGAGTTCGTGTCTTCCTCACATCCCCTACTTGTTATGTATCTCACCAACAGTGCATGAGTCTCTGGTTTTTGTTGTCTGTATTTGTATGCTCCAATCCTTATGTGGCTATACTTGACATTTTCCATTGTCTAATGATGTTGAGTATTTCTCATGTGCTATGATATCTCTTTCATAGACGTTCATTTCGGATTTCATGCTCATGTTTAAAGTTAGGCTATTTGCTTTCTTGCTAAGCTTTGAGAATTCTTGAATGCTTTGTCATAGATCGGTACTACAAATATTATTCCTTCGACTGTTTTTCTTAGTAGTGTCCTTTAAAAAAATTTTTAATCCTTTCCTTCAGAAATCATGTTTTAGACTTACTCCTTAGTCTAACTTAAGCTCACAAGTGTTTTATGTTTTTCTTTTCTGGAAATACTGTCATTTTAGCTCTTAAGTATCTGTCTGTGGCCAGTTGTGAACTGATTTTTACACGTACTGTGAGATATGAATGGACGTTCACCTTTTTAATATATGGATGTTTAATTGGCCCAACATTTCTTGAAAATTATCATTTCTTTGTTACCCTTGTTGAAAATCAATTTACCATATCTGAGTGGCTGTTTCTAGACACTGTTCTGTCTAATGGATCGGCAGCTGTCATTATTTTAGTCCCACAGTCTTAAAATATTCCAATGTGAAGGTTTTTACATATATCGTTTTTCACAGTCATTTGAACTCTTCTAAGCCTTTTGATTTTACATTTCAATTTAGAAGTAACTTACTGGGTTTTACAAAAGGTAGGGGAAAATGGAAATAAATTATTTCTTTCTGAAATGTCTATAAAAAGTCCTTGTCTAGAATAAAAAAAAAAAACTGTAAGTCCCAACAGGAAAAAAAAAAAAAAAAACTGGATAATTGCATTAACTTGCCGATTTTCCTCGAATTGGGATTGTATTGAATCTGTAGATTAATTTGATGGGAATTGGAGTGTTAATGAAGTTGTCTAATTTTCACTCCTGTCTTCTCTGTGTTAAATGTTGCCCCTTCCTTCTAAAGAACGTCATGTCTTCGGTCATGTAAGTTTTCTTCCCTCTTGTTTCCAATGGCCTGTCATAGCCCTGTTGTTGGAACTAACCTTTTTGGATTATGCCCCTCATGAAAGCCAAATCTCTCTCTCTCTCTCTCTATTTATTTCCTTACTTACTTACTTATTTTCTTGAGCTGTAAGATAAGCAAAGCAAACAAAAGGGATACAAATCGGAAAGGAAGATATCAAAGTATCCTTATTTACAAATATAATGAGTCTATACATAAAAGACCCTAACAACTCCTGTCAGAAAACTCTTAGGTTGGTTAAAACACTTTGAGCAAGTGACAGGATAAAAGGTTAACATCCTAAAACTAGCTTTCCTGTTTATGATAAACCAGCGTGCTGAGGACGAGAGCAGGAAAGGTTCCCATTCACAAGCGTCTAAATCTCAACAATACAACCTTCCTTGTAACCTTCAACAGTGAAGTGAAAGGGCCCTGTAACACAACCCTTAAAATAAGGTGTGGTGTGGTTGTGCCTTTAATCCCAGGGCTTAGGAGGCAGAGGTAGGCGGATTTCTGTGAGTTCAGGGCTAGCCTGGTGTACATAGAGAGTTCTAGACCAAACAGGGTTACACAGTGAGGCCCTGCCTAAAAAATAAAACAAAACAAAAAAAGGAACAAAAAAAAAAAAAAAAAGAAAAAAAACAACAACCCTAGAAGAATCCATGCTATTCCATGTCCTTGGATTACAAGAATCTGTATATTATGAAATGAGTATCTTACCAAAAGCAATGCCACCCAATGCCATTCTTCATAGAAATACTTTTAAACAGTCAAAACTCATTTGGAAACACAAAAGCCCTCAAAGTAGCCAAGCCCATCCTGAGCAATAATAAATAAGGGTGGAAGGTATCACCATATCTGATTTCTAGTTACATTACAGAACCGTAGTAACAAAACCAGCATGGTACTGACACCAAATTAAAGTTCCTGACTTGTACCTGTGCAGCTGTAGCCAAGTGATTTTTGACAGAGATGTCAAAAATTCTTGTAGTAAAGAACAGCCTCCTTAGCAAGCAAATGGGGCTTGGAAAACTGGAAATCTACCCATAGACGAATGAAGCCTAGATCCTTATCTCTCACCTTGCTTAAAATTAACTCCAAGTGTTCTAAAGACTTTAACAGCAGACCTGAAACTCTGAAACTGTTAGAGGAAATGTATATACATCAAGATATAGGCGTATTTGAGGATTTCCTGACTAGGACTCCAGTTACTCAGGAAATAAGGCCACCAGTCAAAAATGACACTGGAATAGTTGATAACGTTAACTTGACAGGCTCTAGGATTACCTGGGAAACAAGTGTCTCAGGATGCCTTTGGGGAATTAACTAGATAAAATGAATTGAGGTAGGAAGACCTCAATTGGTAAAGTGTAACTGGCATGTGAGCCCTAACATTCCTCATACCCAGCTTCCTAGGAGAACGCCATGTGCCCAGCTGCCTCACTCCAACCAACTTATTTGTGGGAGACCAGCCCCCACACTTATTTACAACAGGAACTCTTGAGGAATGAGGGATAAGAGACTTGGTTAGAAATAGAGAGGAGAGAAACAGAGAGGGTGGGCCTGGATCCTTATCCACTGGTCCTGACTGTCTCTGCCCCAGAGTATTTATAGGAATGCCAAGGGGTGGAGCAAAAGACCTCCCCCCAGCACAGCCAAGTGCAGACCGTCTCAGACACCTGCACTCAGGCCCGTGGTCCAGTCATCCTCTCCATGCAGACCTGCTGGGTAACGCCCCGAGGAAACCTGAAAACGGCCCCCACACTGACTTCCCTGTCCTGACCCTTGTGCTTTCCAGCTGTGAACCAGAATAAACCAGAACTTCCTCAGGTGCTCTTGCCGGGTCTTCTTAGCAACAGTAATGACAGTAACTAATATACGCACCTCACAAAACTGAAAAGCTTCCGTACAGCAAAGGGAACTGGTGAGTGCCGAGAAAGCCTGCGCAACGGGGAAATCATTCCATGGTATGCTTCTGGTAGAGGATTACTACCTAGAAACAGAGACATCAAAATCCTAAAATAAACAATAATCCAGTTTTATAAATGGGTTAAGGACTGAGCAGAAAATTCACAAAAGAGCAATACAGATAACTGAAGCCGTTTTTTAAAAATTGTCTTACATCTTTAGCCACGAGGTAAGTGTAAATTAAATTTGAACTTCCGCCTCTGACCAGTAAGAGTGACCATCATCAAGACATCAAATGACAACAAAAAACAGGCCAAGGATGTGAGAAAAGGGAACTCTTACTCAGTTGGGGCGGCGGCGGGGTAAGCTGGCATGGCCACTATGGAAGTAAGCCTAGGGGCTTCTCACAAAATTAAGAACTTCCATATGACCTAGCTGTATAATTTCTGGGCATATACCAAGGGTCTCTATCTTTTCACAGAGATATTTGCATATCTGTGCTTACTGCTGTTCTATTTATAATAGTGAGGAAATCAAATCTGTACAGATATCCATCACAGAATGTGTGGGTAATGAATATGTAGAACATACTGTCTTAATTAGGTTTACTATTGCTATGAAGAGACACCATAACCACAGCAACTCTTCTAAAGAAAACATTTCACTGGGGCTGGCTTACAGTTTCAGAGGTTTAGTTCATTACCATCATGGTGGGACATGGCAGCATGCAGGCAGACATGGTGCTAGAGAAGGAGCTGAGAGTTCTTACATCTTGGCTCACAGGCAACAGGAAGTGGTCTGGTCTGAGACACTGGGCGTGGCTTGAGCATATATGAGACCTCAAAGCCCGCCCCCACAGTGACACACTTCCTCCAGTGAGGCCACACCTACTCCAGCAAAGCCACATCTAATAGTGCTACTCCTTTTGGGGGTCATTTTCCTTCAAGCCCCAACACATACATGCCACTGAATTTTGTTGAGCCATAAGAGAAATGAAGTTACAGAATTTTCAAAAGCAAACAAAAGGAATGTAACTGGAAAATATTGCTTACGTTCAGGCTGACAGATATTACATGTTCTCCCATGTTTGAGCCCTTTCTTCTTAGCTTCTAATTTTAAGACAGAAGTGTGTGATTATGTGTAGAGGTTAAGAAAGTAGAAAGGGGTCCAGGAGATGGGGGGAAAGGAGGTCCCAAGGGATGGTGATGAAGAGCAGTTGAACACATGTGACATGAAAGTAGACAAGAGAAAAATGAGTGTAAATGTTTAAGAGGAATAGGGAGACTTAGAAGTAGTGAGAGGTAGGGTCAACAGAAACTAAGTATGAATGAAAACTGTATAAGGAAACATACTACTTTGTAAGCTATTTAAAACAAATTTTTTTTAAAATTGTTTTTTAGGTTCTAGTAAAGTACTCATCATATTAACCTGGCCCAACAGGTTGTTCTTCAGTGACCGGGTCTTAAAGGGGAGAACCAGAGGATGAGAAGATAAAGAACACAGGAAAGCCAGGGTCAGGGAATCTTGTGTAAGCTGCGCAAGTTTATTAAGAACTACAGCATTTTATATACAGGTTTTAGGAGAGAAATTGGACAGTGTCCTTGGAAAGCTATCACACAATGGGACAAAGTCAGCAGGAAGCTAATCAAGCAATGCTGCACAGAGGGAACACCGAGTATCTCAAGAGCATCACAGACGGAGCACACAGTAGCCTTGACACTGTTCACCATATCTCCGTACAGTGGCAAGAGTTGTGTTCTCAGGATCTGAAGCTACAGCTCCCCCACGCCCTGGCCCCAAGCATATTCCAGGTTTTAGAGAAGGAACTATGTTCCTCCATACATCCTGGCCCCAGGCTGTTACTGACTCAGCCAAGCATGTTTCAGAATTAGAGAAGGAGCTATGAAACTGAATTTATCTGTCAACCACCATAGCCTCAGTTCCTGGGAACCACCATTCTAATTTCTGTTTCTGTGAATTTGACAATATTTGTCTTTTTAAAAATTTCACTAGCATACTTTCCTCAAGATTCATCCATATTCTTCCATGTGTTAGAATCATTTCTTTTTTTAAGGCATGTGTACATGCCATATTTTGTTTATTTAGCTGTCATTGGGCACTTGGATCCTTTCCATTTTCTAACTACTATCAATAATGCAGCTTGAGTTTAGCTTTCAAAATAATCTCTAACCCCAGTATAATATAAACTTCATGAGGGTTATCATTATTGTATCTCCAATTTTGTGTCTGGCATGTGCCAGATACTTGGTTGTGTGTGTGTCTGTGTCTGTCTGTCTCTATGTATGTATGTATGTATGTGTATGGGTACAGTATGCATATGTGTGGGACTCAAGTTTAAAACCCAGGACCTTATACATCCTAGCCAAGCACTGTATCACTGAGCTACATGCCCTATTGTGTTTCATTCTTTTAGAGATGCTTTAGAAACCATGGCAGCTCCATTCACCATTTATTTGGCGTATAGCTATCTACTATAAAATGACTCAAATCTCTAGTTGAAAGTGGGCTCATGCCAGGTATGGCAATGTGGACCTCTATGTCTAGGATTTAGGGCTAAGGGAGAAGGATGACAAGTCCCACGGCAAACCTGAGCTTCATCAAAACCCTGTCTTCAAAAAGGTGAATTAAAACTCATTGATGATAATACTTTATAGCTGAATTAACCTATTTGTAGGTTCTGATGGGACTATCTTAGTATTATGGAATATTTATATTATAGTAGCCTCCAATCTGATGGAGGCAACTTCTCAGTTGAGGCTTCCTCTTCCCTTGTGTGTCCAGTTGACAACCGAGATTAGTCATCACAATCCCTAGATACTTTAATGAGTAGTATTCTGAGGTCTTTGATATAGTTGAAGACTAGATAGTTATAATTTTCCTTGGTTATGATAAAAGATAAATTAGATATGATACCTTAGACTCACAAATATAGAATAGATAAAAAAATTTTCTTTAATTTTACAAAATACAAATAGACTAGATATTGTAACTGTAATCTTGCTTGATAACTGTTTTGTTATTTGTAATTTTAATAGGTTAAAGTTAAAACCTTGCTTTTGTTTAGACAGAAAAGGGGAAGTGATAGGGGAATGTCTTTCTGTATGCTGCAAATATGTGTTGCTCTGATTGGTTGATAAATAAAGCTGTTTGGCCTATTGGCAAGACAACTTAGAGACATGCAGGAATTCAAAGAGAGAGACAGAAAGGCAAAAGGGAGAGATGCAAGCAAGCCGCCAAAGGAGCAACATGTAATGGTACGCACGTAAAGCCATGGAACATGTGGCGATACATAGATTAATAGTTATGGGCTAATTTAAGTGTAAGAGCTAGTCAGTAATCAGCCTGAGCTAATGGCTGAGCAGTTATATAGTTACATTAATATAAGTCTCTGTGTGTTTACTTGGGGGGCGCGAGTGGGAGAGATTTGTCCTGGCTGCCAGCTGGGTGGGACACAGGAAAACTTTCAGCTGCATAAACATCCTTATTCAGAATTTTGAAATTGGTATCAGAGTTTCAGCAAGAAGCAGAAAATACATTCTCGGGGTTTTTGAAGGCACTGTAGCGATGCTCCTATTTCCAGAGGTGTAGAGAGAAAGAAACCTGAGAATTAGCTGCACAGAGGAAGATGGCCACCCTGTGACTGAAGTTTCCAGGAGAAAGGAGGTTGACTTACAGAGAAAGAAAGGACAGAGGTAAGGGGCTCTCAGCAGGACTCGGTAGAGATGTCAGCTTCTAGCAAGAGCTCAGAAGTAAATACCCTGACCTCTTGTGCGTTCTGATTCCCCGTCATTGCCTTATGGTGGACAGTTCCTTTTGGAAAGCAGCAAATATGGCCTCACAGAGTCAGTCTCCTAGAAACATGGCAGGCAGTGTTGGAATTCCCAGCCACTCCTCCAGCTGCATGACTGCACATGTGCAGTTCAGTAACCAAGCAAGGGACCTTATGTCCTACTTAATTCGTGTGCTGCCCATCTCTCCCTCCTCCTCATGTGTCTTTCCAACAAGCCTGGCCACGCTCTCTTCTGTCCTCTCCTCCTAATAAAGCTCTGATATTGGACTTTGTCCTGTCTCGTAACCTTTCTCGCATGGTAACAGTGCCACCTATGAAAACCAACAGCCAAGAAAGAAAGACCAAAAATTAGTTTGGTTGGTTGAGTTGATAGCCAACTAGATAACTGCATAATGTCATTTTTGCCACTGAAAATATGGAAAAAAAAGTTTTTTTCTTTTACTTATGGAGACCCACAGAGGTTTCCTAGCGAGAACTTACTCAGGGTCTGAGAACCTGAGCTTGTTTTACCCAGCAGGCCTGCATAAGGGAATGATTTGACCAAAGACATGGTTATCAGGTGTTTGGAAGGGTCTACACTTGGCTATGCAGTGTGCTTTGATCTAGCAAGGGGGAGGGCTTTTGCCCCGCCCCTTGCCATTGTTAAAAAAGCCCTTTTGAATAAACAGAAAGGGCCGTTGAGTATTAACCTAGGTCCTCCCGAAGCTATCCTGTGTTTCTGTCTTTCTCCTCTTTGCTATCTTTCTACCTAATATTTTCTTATCCCTCTCTCGTACTCATAAGAATCCTTGAAAAAGTGGGAGCTGGCCTCCCACATTTACTTTTAAAAGGTCTTATATTAATGATAGCCCATAATGGACAGGAGCATTGTTTTGCTTTTTGCCACTTTTGTGAAAGGAAAGCTAGGATTATATATGGTTCAGAGTGTATGGAATCTGGTTGTTAAATGACTAGAATTTATCATTTAAACATTTATAAAAGACATCAAATGTGATTTGAGTAGAGTTTTGTTTTCACTTTGCGATAATCTTGAATGTGAATGCATTTAAAAGTAATGTGAGATTATGCTTCTCTCCTTAAATTCTACATAACAAAGTCAACCTTTGTGAATAACACTTCCTTGGTTGCAAACAAGAGACTCCAGTCAAAGTTCTGAAGTGTACTGACTCATTTCCTTTTTCTTCCTAGCATTTCAAAAACTTTCAGCATTTCTTACATCGCATGAAAGAAGGATCTCAAAAGTAGCATTCAGATGTTTTAGTTTGTAGACATCACTCTGTCCCTGTTCTGTACTGCAATTACCTCCTTCGCAGATAATATTCTGGGAATGCTCAATTCATGCATAAGCAGAAATGTGACAGAAGCCTGAACTGAAATAGCAGTGGAATTAGCTTGTCATTTAAGTAACATCTTTAAATAATCTTACCTAGGTTCACAATGGTCCGTAGTGGGAAAAATGGTGACCTCCATCTTAAGCAGATTGCATATTACAAACGAACAGGTGAATATCATCCAACCACACTGTCGAGCGAGAGAAGCGGCATAAGACGAGCAGCGAAGAAATTTGTCTTCAAAGGTGAAATCGGTGTCTCAATCTTAAATTGTAGATTATCTCCCATATATGTGTGTGGAATCCTGGGAAATTCTCTAGTATTTGCTTATTGCTAAGCAGTTACTAACTAAATGTAAGTTCAGCCTCAAAAGTAACATAAATAAAGCTAACTGAAGGCTGGTACGTGTGAAAAAGACCTATTACGGGGCTGGAGAGAGAGCTCAGCCGCTCAAAGCACGTAGTGATCAAGTTCAGTTTGCAGTGCCTGTGTTGGGCAGCCCACAGCCACCTCTAACTCCAGCTCCAAGGGAATCTGGGCCTTTAGTCTTGGTGTGTTTCAGCATTCAAGTGCACATACACACACGTAGTGACACACACATACACATAATTTAAAATAAAAAAATAATTATAAAAATGAAAAGAAAATGACTTATTAAGTTGTAGATCAAAAGAAATAACTATGAAAATTACACAAATTAATTTCTCTTGCCTTTGCCACCTAATGGTTCACTTTCAGAAATTGATGCCACAGTGTTGAAGAAGTTATTTGATGCTTAGTATGGAAATGTTAACAGAGTTAACTAGTTTGCTTACTAAAATAAAAGAATGGAAGATCTAACTGTGTTCAAAGCTGAGTTTACCCACATACCTGCCCCCCCCCCCCCCCCACACATAGGAATGTACAATGTACAATAAAGCAAGAGAAGAAGAAATTAAAAACAGACAGATATAAAACCATAACCTACCACTTCAGGAAAGGTAGTGTTGGAGAGCTGGCCTATCCACACATCTGGCAAGATACCCCCCCCACACACACACTGTACCATTAGTTGTTCTCAGGATTACGTTTGTTTTCTTGCCTTGACACTCCATCAGTACGTTAAATATCTGAGAAGCAGGGGGGAGTTATGAGAGCTTTCCCTCCTGCAATGGAGGAAGCAAACTGAGCATGAGATAATCAGCAGGCACAGTCAACAGGTAACTAAATACATGAATGGTGTTGCTATGAATGGCAGTTTCCCCTGGAGATACCGCTTTAGGCTTTCTCCCAATATTCAGGTCAGAATATAAAGTCCTAAGTAAATGCCTGTTCGTGTATCCCTACCCAGATCCTTGTCAGGAACTCCTATTCTTAACACTAGGGAGACCTCTTACAGTAAAGTGGAGGTGCATTCATTCATTTAATCATTTATGTTAGAAATGATTATGGGATTAAAAATGTAATCACATTCTAGGCCCTGGGATATTCTAGTGAGTAAGGTAGGGATTCAACATTCCCGTTGCCTACCTTCTAATTTAAGCAGTGCTTATTAATCACTTTAGTATCTTAATGATGTATTCTGGAGTCTGTGTAGCTACCCATATGAACTGGAGAGAGATAATGACTCTCCCTGTTCCCTGCTTGTTCCTCCACTTAGTGTCCTCGAAAGAAAGAACTGAGCATTGTGTCCCTTCCACTAC